TCCAGAGCACCGCATAAAGGTTTTGAAGAAAAAACTAGGCGAGGGGAATGGCCAAGTAAACTGAAATGGCCTGCCCACAAAAACGGGCCAGATCGCAAGCCACCACCCAATGTCGGGCCTGAAGGACCTGAGCCTTTTTGGCAATGAGTGCCACCTTGTCCCAGGGATTATGAAAACGACAAGCCTTGGTGTCCACCACCACCTCAAGGTGCCGCTTGACCTGAATTGGCTCCCACTTGCACCTTTGATCATTAAAGCAAATCCCAAATCCCCAAAAATCTCCCTAACTAATTAGGACCATTCTCTCAAATGTCGCGGATTGCTCATTACCGCCAAAAAATCGTCAAGATAGGCCAAGAGAATGGTGGGGTCATTGACAATATAATGTACATAGTAGCGTTGAATCGAATCATTCCCCGCTAGACAATGAAACTGAAAGCCCCACGCCGCTTTGGCACAGGAACTGGGGGATCAAAGAAAACGAGTAACCACCAACATGAAATGTGTGAAAAAGTAAGGAGATGACAATAGCCCAAAGGGAAGGGCGTGACAAGTGAAAACTTCCCCACCTATTCGAAATTGTAAAAAACATTCATCCACCATTCACATCTGCAAGTGATGGTATACATCCTTGACATCAAAACCGACCAGAAAATCGTCCCGCTTCAACAAATTGCCAAGATCCCATAATCTTTTAAACCGGAAACCCATTTTGCTGAGATGACGATTAATTCGGCGGAGATCGACACAAAGACGGTACTTCATCACCCCATTTTCCTGCACTTTTTCCACCAAGAAGGCGTGAGATATGCGTGAGTCGGGACCGGGATCTACCTTGACGATCGCTTCCAAATTCAAATACTCCTTGCAGAGGGCCTCCCATCCCGCCCGCTCCGCCACCGAATGCATCAAGTATTCACCAAGATCGAAGGGTGGGGGAGGACCCTGCAGCCCCTATGGCAGCAGAACACCCAAATGGATCTAGTGAAGAACGTGCGATGGCACTCCAATCCTCCGCCATGTTGAGAGCCGGCTACTGGTGCAGTTATACAGGAAGTCGATCATGCGTCCGGAGGTGGATGTGCTGTTGGAGGTTGATTGTGCCTCTTGCCCCGCTTCCCCGATGGGCCGCTGGAGGTGGGAGGAGGATCTCCACTCCCCGCCTTGCCCGAGCAGCTGGCCGCAACCGCCTTGGTCACAAGGTTGACTTCTTGGGTGAGGAGCTCCTTGCCAATGGCGCCAAGCGTCCCGTCGATGGTCTCGGTGGTGAATCCACCTTCGGGTTTGCTGAGGTGGATCTGAGCTTGCAACGCCCACCAGGATCCCTCGAGCCCGGTGCCATGATGCTTGGCGTGCACTTGGTCAAGGCGTAGTTGATTGACTTGCCATTCGGTAATGGCCACTGAGGCATAGACGTATGGGAGGAGGAGGTCGCGGATCGAAGAAGGGAGGCTCGGATGGGCGACCAGGTCTACGAAGGCCGCCACTTAGTCAAACTGCCATGTGACCCAAGGCGCCCAGCTCGTGTACTCCTGGAAGTAGCCAGAGTTGGGTACCAAAGTTGCAACAATGGTCTGGCCTTGGCCCGTCTCCTATACGTCAAACCAGGCCGGGAAGGACGTGAAGTCCGGCCTGGCGACGCGGTTGTTGACTGACCGCGGGAGTAAATGTGGGTCAGAAACCCACATGACCTTTATGGGTCAGTTAAGGAGGCGCTAGCTGAAATGAAGTGCCTGCACCCACAGCCACTGCTTGGCAGGGCTGGGGTTCCTATAGAAAGGACTTGGCGCGAAGGCCGGAGGGTCGAACCACTCTGTGGTTCCGGGTTGTGCCAAAGTGTTGGCGCGAAGCGAAATAAGATAAAGGGGGGCGCCGTGGTTCGCACCTAAAGTAACCGCTCCCACTTGCCACCAAACTCCCCGCCAAACCCAAGGGCCAGCTTGACCGGTCCCCTTGGCTGCGCGCAAGGTACAAGGCTCAACCCCGTTGCCCTTGGATCCGTCGGGCAGAACTGACCCCGAGTATAGGGGGTGACAGAAACCGGCCGATGGATAGCCCCAAATTGTCCAAGAGGTGGAATGGCCCGACTAGCCATTACGCGGCTTCCCAATCGTCGTCTTTCGCAGAAACTCATTAACAGGATAGTTAATTATATTTATGAGACCAAGCATTTTCGCACAAAGGCCCTTTCCCTATTTTTGGGTGCCATTCAGATCTACAAATCTCTGTAGTATGGGTCGCCGTGCACTTCAAAAAGATAAAATTCAACCAAGACAAGTTGTGCACAATGCACTTTAAACTAATTGAATTTATTTACGGTACCATTGCCAGTCCGGGACATCATTAGTGTTGCCGTTGCATTAAATTAAATGGTACAATCAACAGCCGACTCCATAATAGAATGAGACACAAGGTTACTTTCTCTTGGGAGAAGGGAGGGTATTCGGGACTTGGGGGGAGGGGATTTTGTATGACCATGAACAAATCATGCGAAAGTATCATATAAACCCTGGTATTGAATTCATGCCCAACATCGCCTTTTAAGGTGCAAGGCAGTGTTATGTCATGTTATGTGACAAATGCAATCAAAGGATTTGAGCCGACTCCAAACCCTGCCCAGTTGCATGTTGCTAACGGAATTCCGCTGGAGCGTCTGACTCGGCACTACCGTGGTGGTACGACAGCCGTCATCAGTGAACGCATGAGTAGTCGGTCCGCAAGTTTCAATACCAACGTCGCACACTACGTCGGGCATTTGGAGCCGTGGCCGTTGGAATGAGCGACACCAAAGAGACACTCTGGGAGAGCCAGCGTTGCTACGGATTTGCCGGATGGTACACCAACAGCTCTACTTCGTTGCTGGCCCCCGATGCAGTGGCGGTTCACTCTGGACGGGGTCTGATCATTGTCTGCACCTCTCTTTCAGGCATGCGCCGCTCGTGTTCGAAAGGCCGCGGTGGAGCGATGCTGAAGGCAAAGGTGTACAGATCCGTCAAGATGCGCAGCCATCCCAAGACGGCAACACCGGCTGGGTTGTAGTGGTGTCTTCCGCCACAGATGAGGATGGTTGGCAGTACAGCACAAGTTTCGATAAGATTGACAAGCCCAGGGCAGGCGGAAGGGCGTCGAAGCGAGCCACGGATTCTGTCCGAAAACGCCAGTGGATCGTACAGCCGATGGTACTTCTGCGCTCTACAAAGTGTCTGTTGCATCCGTAGCTGCTTTGTGAGAGTTCACGCGAATGTGTCCTTTACAATTCGTAACTGAATCCAGGTCCAGCCATGTCGTGAGGGCAAAGCATCGTCAGCGAGCTCATGCAGAGTCCTAAGAACATGTTTCTTGCTGGAAATGGTTGCTGAAGCACAAATTTTTCACATGAATGTGAAAACTTCCAAATAGATTGCTTGCAGTTTCTTGCATTTTTCTCTCGCAGAATGTGGTGGAGTTTGGGAACCATATTGGGGAAGGGGTGCTAATTATAGAATATGTGTCTTGTTTCTTGTAAGCAACGTTGCCCATGGAACAAAATGAGCATATACTATGTATGTTACTCTTTGAGCGTGCGAGCAGCTACCCCATATATGCCAAGAGAGTAACTTGAAGTTTGTCGTTGCTGGATCCTGTCCTGATGTGCCAGGGATGGCGGCAAAAGGACTCTTGCATGCTGTTTCGAGTCTTCTTCACTTTTGTTTCAGGGTTCATCCTCGTCATCTTCACGGAAGAATGTGAAGCCATGGCACACTTACAGGTGAGAGCTGGTGCTGTGCTGCCATCACTGCCTGAAAATCAGACCCCAATGTTCGCGTGTTGGTATGGTCCAACTATGCATTCTGTTGTGCTTCATGGTCAGTCGGTGGCTATCCTTTTCTGTACTTTTAGTTTTGCCCCCAAAACGCCCATGTTTATGACTTTTTTTGCCTGTTGTGCATGCAGGGGATTGCGTGCTTTTGTAGCTCTGTTTGGAGGTAAGCGATGCTGGTCTTCTGCATTGTGCCTGCCAATGCTCATCATTCACCACGGTCCCCTTTTAAAATTGACAGTTTCAGTGAGCCATCCATGCCTTCACAATATTGAGCAACATTACTAGAATGTAGTGTAGTCTATACTTGGACCATTGCACTTCATCAGTGATGGCCTCAAGTCTGCTGGCAGTGTCCACACAGTGTACATGCAGAAAGTAAAGCTGTTACAAGGAAATCAGGAGAATCCTAAGTCGAGATTGTCATCCTGGCACCAACACCCTCCAAACTTTTGGAACCCCTGACAGCTGTGAATTGATGCACACCAGAACTCCTCAAGCGACGACAGATTTGGGAGGTTCTGCCCTGGGATCCTGGTGCATGGGTCGTGGTTCACGCTGAGCACCAAGAATACTTGAGGTAAGATGATGGTGCTTCACAATCCTGCTCGTTCAGGGGATGAGAAATAAGTACCAACCCAAAGGGCATGAAATATGCTAATGGATGGATTCCCACTGAAATTGGAGACAGGAGCGCAGAATTTCGAACCTGCTCTTTGGTGTCTTAGCAATTCTCTTGTGGGCTTTACGTTCATGCATTGGAATGGCATCTTCAAGCAGACGCGCTCATGCTGATAGATTCAATGAAGAATCTGTGGTAGTGTCAGCTGGTATAACTGGGTTATACCAGTTCTCCTGTGTAACTTGCAGTGGTTATGATACATGGGCGAATGGATATTTAGAAGTCCTTAATGCTCAAAGTACAGATTGATTGCTGCATTGTGGAGTTGTGTAAAGGCAACCACATGCCCCTGGTGCGTGTGCACAATGCATTGCAGAAAAGGGCAGTGTAGCAATTGAAATCAAACCACAATTCAACCCTGGAGGGGGGGGTGTGTGACCTTCAGAGGGCTTGCTGTGGTTGCCTCATTGCCTGACGATCCAAGTGCTGTCTTGTTCCAGTGCAGCTCTGTCCCTGCAATCGAAACTGAAGGGCTGTGCACTTAATACTGGAGTGGAGACCACGAAGCTTCTGGAGACGATGCTGTGCGGTGCAGTGCATGCAAATGCTGCATATGGATATTGTGCAATGGCAGGGCACCTGCAGTCTGTGGAGAAGATGGTCATGATGCGAACTGTGCATAACACATAGTGAGTTGGTTGTGTCTTCTCATCACCAGGAACTAGCTCGTCGAGTCTGATTGTGCGCGGAAGTACAAGTGTTGCAAGTGGTGTTCCATTGGAACTTTAATGCTGGGAGTGTATGTTGGAATGCAGAGATTCGTGGGGCTGAGGAAGATGCAATAGCTTTGAGCTCTGGTGGAACATGTGGTGTCTCCTGCCTTCGCTGTTGACCGCTGACAATGTGTGTATATCGATTGAGCAAATTGTCACCTGAACTGAAAGGCTGGGTGGGATGACATTCAACATGGATTGTGTGAAAATGTTGTTCAGGAGGTATTTGAAAGTGGTTGGTGCCTTTCATGCCCTTTGTGATAATTTCTCCAGGCCGGGTGTGTTTTGATCTTCAGACCTGGATGCTATTCTGGAAAACCTGCTCTGCAGAGTCTGTTTGCACTGATGACCTTACTTTGTTGTTGCCTGTGGTCGCCTTTTAGTGAAATGTGCACTTTTAGACATGCAGCATACCTCACATGATGATCTGAGTGCACATGCAACTCACTAAAATTGTTGTATGCAACATGTGCCTGGCATCGTGTGCTGGCTGTCAGACATCAAGAGATGGCCTTGGAATGCTTCCTGTGTATTCCTTGCTTGTCGACCACTGAATGGTTGCATGTTATCACCTGTGTCAGGGTAATGCGTACCAGATCAGCACCACAGCGCAGATGCTTCAATGAGACGGCGCCAACAGTTGTCCTTTTAATTTGTGGGGCTGACTCTGACACGTGTTGTGGATTCTGCTATGCAGCTTCGATCCTGTCTCTGGAGCATCAGCTGAGGCCAACAATCAAGCAGTGGCAGCACTAGTGGGAGTGCGTGAAGAGGATATTCTTCATGCAGAATGGGAAAATACAGAATTCAGGTGCTGCCACAATTAAATCGCGATTGCTTGGCAGTGGAGCATCCCTTGAATGTGAAGGTTTGTCAGCTTGGTCAAGTTTTGATAAACATAAACGAACCCTTTCCACACAAGACTTGGGGACTAGGTGAGTTTTTCAGAGCACACACCTGGCTGTGTTGGCATTATGTCGCCCAATTGCTCACCATGTTCTTTTCTGATCTCAGGCCTTGCCACTATGTTGCAATTGACAGAGCACAGAAGGTGTTGGTTCTAGCAATCAGGTAAGCACAAACCATATGGCTGATGTGAATTGTGTGCTTTGTTGAGACAAAACGAACTGATGTGGGACATGAAAACATTCTTGGATGGGTACATGCCCGCGATCCCGTGCAAGGCACAAAGGCGCCGTTTTCGCTTGTCAACGGCAAATTGAAGATTGCAACCTGCTTTGCTTGGTGTCAGGGCCATCGCAATGCATACGTGTCCATGTGCAGCACTTATTTTCCGATACAAGAACAGCAAAACAAATTGCTCAACATCGTTTTTCAGGCAATGCTTTTGCTTTCCTTCCATACGGTGGTTATGACATTTCTTTATTTGTTGGCTATCTTGTTGTTGTCCACAACTACACAAATTTTGTGCTGTTTCACTAGAGGTTCAATGCAGATGGGTGACATAATGACTGACGTCAGCGCCCAGCCAGTGACGATGCATTTTGGCAATGTCACTGGCCAGGTGCACGAGGGCATGTTGGCTGCTGCAACATATGTCCAGTGCCGTTCGGCAGCAGCGCTGGAGACTGCAGCCAAGACTTGTCCAGGCTGGCCTCTCCTCATCACTGGACACTCTCTCGGTGGTGAGCTTGTTGGATGAGTGCCCAGCGAAATGATCTATGTTGTGTTACGAGCCGATGGTGACGTTGATCTGCACAATTGTCACCACACCACTGCCCTGGCATGTTTGTGTTTTCTGTTGAATCAATACCCAGTGAAAGATCGAAAGGCACTTGGCCTTCCAGAAAGCATCGCTGTGAAGTCGAGTGTGGAAGAGGGTGTAGCAATGGGTTCCCTGGACGAATTGCCTCTGTGACAAGTGCCGCATAGTGTGTCATATCTGATGAATGGTTGCTGCTGATTGGGTGTATTTGATGAGTTTGCGGTGTTCTCCCAGGTGGGGTAGCTGCTCTTTTGACTCTTCTTCTGCACAATGGTCCTGTCCCTGATGGCTTCTCAAACATCTACTGTGTGGGATTTGGCCCAGCTGCTGGTGAGTTGTTGTCAGATTCACTCTTGTGAAGACACACAATATGGGAATGTTCTGATAACAATTGCTTGCTACCATGCGACTATGTTTAGGACGTCTTTTCTATAATGATATGGCGAATTACATTGTGTGACCTGCAATTTGCTCTCCAATCCACTGTGGGAGCCCCTACCCAATGGCCATCGACTATCTTCACAGATATGCGAACAACTTATGTCATAGCTGTTGTACTTGTTTTCACCTCTATGCTAGGATTGGTTGCCGTCTGGCCCAGCTGTTTACCGCTGCTGGTTGCTGAGACAGCCACAAAAGTCTCAGACTCAAGTTCCAGTGGACTCTGGCCCACACAGCTTGTGTGCAAGCATCTGCTCTCAACCTGGGCGATGTTGAATCCCAGAGTGCCTACAAAGGTATTTGCCTTGGCACCTTGAAGGCAATGGCATTTGCACATCCACACTTATGTTAACTTACTGTGGGTCACTTCACACTCTGCTGGTTCGTACCGTGCACACATGGCTTCTAAACGATAAAAAGAGTTGGCCATGTCAGCCTCAGTGACGGTTTGGAAGGGGAAGAAGGGATCTGCACGTTCGAATGCCAGTGTTTGTGACGACAACTGTGCATTGCAGTGGTTTCCGAAGACCTTGCCGACTACTGCAAAGATTTTGTCACATCTGTGGTTTATGCATGTGATGTGGTGCCGAGGCTGAGCTGTGCCAGTGTGGAGGCCCTACTGGTGGAGTTGGTGAACGCCAGCCCCGCCAAGAGGGCAGTGGAAGAATTCCTGGTGTCTGCAACCAATGCACTGCAGAAATTGACGGACAGGTAACAGTGGCTTGCTGTGCATTCCATTGACGGCTTTTCCCTGCGCAGGACGTAACATCGTCCTTGCATCTTCAAGGCAGTTCCAGACACCCACAGGCATCTTGTATCTTCCCCATAAGTAGGCCGCCATGATTGTTCAACAGTTTGAAAAATGATGCCAGGTGCTGTTCTGGCAGAGAGCCTAAGTGCACCACCTGCACCTGCATCTCACACGCCATTGTTGGCAGTTTGCTGAGCACCATGACGTGGGCGAGGCCTGTAGATGCCAACTTGCTGCACTTCCTTGCTCTGGTTCATGTTTGCTGTACTTTTTGTTTCAGCTGCAACGTGCTCCAGTGAGCACCCATGGACCATCCTTGACCCATCATCTAGAGCTGTGTCCTGTCCTCCTGCTAGGCTGTTCGAGGAACCAAAAAGGTTGAAGGCTGGCAACTTGGTTAAAAAGTACAGTGGCCTGAAGAGCCTTGAAGATATGGTGCAAGACAGTGGGGCTGTGGGACGGGCTGTGAGGGCAGTTCAGCTTGCAGAACGCCCATCGGATAAAATGGCCAGTGGGTCATCGGATCTGGACCCCCCTGGTGCAGATGCTGACACAGCCTCTGTGCAGAAAGGGGCAAATGTTGGAGCCACCAGTGCCGTTTTGGATACCGATCCTGAAGCAGCTGAAGGAGTGGGCATTCATGCATTCAACATGGGGCAGATCGCCCAAACACTGTCTGTAGAGGCTTCATCTGGCTGTGTGGGCTCGGCCGCTCACACAGGGGTGGAGGTTGGCCCCACCAGCCCTAAAGTGACACCGCTCTATCCTCCTGGCACTGTCATGTGGATCCTGGACAGGGGCGCTGTGGAGAAGGGCGAAGCGGCGGGGCCTGACAAGGTGGACGAACCATGGTGGAAGAATTTGAGCAGCTGGAGCATGGACTTGCTGCCCAGCCTAAAAAAGAGGTCAAGCTCGCCGGCTTCAGAGCACAGCATCCTTGATGGCAGCCGTCTTGATGCAGGAATGGCAGGTGCAAGCCTCCCTGGGGAAGGGCCCCAGGGTGGCACACAAGGTCTTACATGTCATGCTCTGTCAGACGATCTACAATGGCTGGAGAACTGGATCGAAGAATGCGAACACAGCGATGGGCACCGAAAGGGACATGGTCTGGAACATGCCGACCTGTCCAGTTCTACTGATACTTTTCAAGGGGACGTTGTGGCGGACCACACTGCTTCTTGTGTATATCCACCCAGGCCTGCATACAGCATACCAGGCGGAAGTGGAACGCAGATAGAAGGTAGCGACCTTGGCGGTGATCACAGCGTGGATGCACCATGTGCTGTGGCGGCCAGTGAGCAAGACCCTTGTATGCAAGGCACCGGCAGAGCGCAGGTGGCGGATGGCGCACAGAAGACTGAGGCCGGAAAATGCCCTGTCTTGATGGAAGTTGACCGCAAGTCGTTTGGACGAATTTTATTGCATCCCGACATGATGCAGCACCATTTGCCAGATGAGTACATGCAGGGCATCCAGAGACTGCTATCCGACGCTCAGTGTTTGCACAAGGCGCAAGCCAAAGTTATGTGACAACAGCTAGTTTGTTGGCCAGCATCCAGAGACTGCTATCAGACGCTCAGTGTTTGCATAAGGCGCAAGCCAAAGTTATGTGACAACAGCTAGTTTGTGGGCCAGCATCCAGAGACTGCTATCAGACGCTCAGTGTTTGCACAAGGCGCAAGCCAAAGTTATGTGACAACAGCTAGTTTGTGGGCCAACAACTGATGTACCAGGCATTTGGTGGTGCAACCATTATGCAAGGAAAACGAATTGTTCTGCTGCTTTGTTGCAAGCGGTGAGGAGAGGTGTTCCCCCATCGTAGATGGTCCTAAATGTGCGCACAGCGCCGGTCCGTAGGGTCTGTGGGAGTAGTGGAACACTCGACCTGCATGTATTCGTTGATTCACCAGGGGGCAGTGCCTCCAGGTGGTCATCAGCAGCTCGTTGCACGTTGGATAAGGACCACCATTAGACGATGAACAATGCAGGTTACATCAGCACAAGCAAATCATGTTCCAGCACACTGGGCTCCGCTGGTGCTTTCTATGACCTCCTTGTGTAGGTGCCACAAGCAATGGCTTCAGCTGCTTGCTCAGGACGGACTTGTTCAACAAGTCCAAGAACTCATAGTGCTTCGACGGTCTCATCCCGGGTTGCAACAGCCATTGTGCAACTGCTGCACATTCCATCGGTGACAGAACGATGACCCAATTACAGAGACAATGGGATCGAAACACTACGCAGTACTTCAAACACCCTTCCAATCGACTCTATCACCCATGCAAAGTGACACCATTCTCCAACCCGCCCTCTAGCCCGACCAACTCTGTGAAAGCATGTGAGCCCTGCAGAAATGACATTGACAATCGCCTTCTGGAGTGTTCACATACCGCATTATTGCAAACAAGGAAACGATAGCAACTCCTAACTAAGCGGCATATCTCCAATTGAGAGAGTTTTGGGCATTTTATCAACTGATCCTTGTCCAGCCGACGTTTCAAAGGACATGTTGACACGCCTGCCCATGACTGATCCTGATATCTTGATGGGCTTGCTCCAACCACAACCTAACCTAAGGAACGGACAATGCAGGAATGCAAACGCCACTTGGACGCTAGACCACGGTCCAAGTTGTATGCACAGGTTATGCTCATGCCCAGCCCAATGACTCAATTGCTCTATGGGTAGAGGCCTTAAGGCACCATTATACCATCACGCAAGGACTGTGATTGATGCACTGTCACCCACTCTTTGAACCTTACAGACATTCTGACCTCAATACAGTACCTACTAATCATTATTGATGCAACTGGCATTTCCTATCAAAGTAGATGCATTCATTCTGTTGAACCAAACCCTCAGCTCTGTCTTTCCTCTGAACAGCAGCTAACTGCGCTCCCACACAAGATCCCTCGAAACCTCTTCCATCGACCAACATAATCCTCAACTTCCAATCATCATTTCATGCACCTGAATGTGCTGTACTATGCGTCGTCAGTTCTGCCAAATCCCCAACAGCCACTTAAACAAGGTGATCAGCAGTCCAGAAAGAAATACCCGTGCTAATCGTCACATCCCAACCGTTGGTAAGGAGTGCATGTCTGGAGCAACTCCACTCAAGACCAATCCCATTGAGGGAGGCACGACATAGTGCACATCACAGGCGCGACTGCAATGTACATGCTCAAGCTAGTCTCCCTTGTCAGACGCTGTGAATGCCAACACCTTGCCATTGCTGTCAGAAGAGTTCACAAGGCTCCACATTCCTTCAAACAGGTTTTTGATGTACCTCACAACGATGGATGTCAGGGCCAGCACACATGCGCCTGCAGCAATAGCAAAGGCAGATGAACACATTGCACATTACAGACACCCCAGCTGCAGCTTGCACTTTGCACGTCCAATGGCAAAATTCTCAACATTTCCTGAGGTGGAGAGACCTGCAACACAATCTGATATTCATGTATTCGTGGATATGAGCGGCTATTTTCTCTGCAAATTTGCACACTACTCCAACACTGATCCCGATCCACTTCACAGAGTTCTCCATCAAACATGGGTAATGGATTTTATCCGCCAAGATGTTAAACACGTTGTTTCTGTTGTAGGATGGTCAAACTGGGAAATAGAGCATACAGTCTCAAGTATGCACAGATCCATTGATTGCCTTTATATCTCACCATAACCGAAGGCAAACGCAACAGCTCCCCAAAAGCAGACACCAGCAAAAAGTGTGAAGGCTGTAGGAATGAGGACCATGCTCAGGAATGCACCTGCAGTGTTCACAGAAAAAGTTGGCTTCCGATGCCACACAGTCCCAATCCATTGCCAATACTTTCTGCAGCTGCCCTCCTGAAGCTTGTTACTTCTGCGTCAGCAGAAGACAATAGCATGACTGGATTGTTGCGAAAGAGCACAATAAGGAGGGTGACGTGCCCGAGAAAGGGCGTGCTATTTTTAGTTGAAAGACGAACTTCAGTATTGTTGGACCTGCAGCTCACCGACGGCAAACATAGCAATGGCAGCCGACATCACGGCCGCCCCGATGCAGATGCATCCAAAGCAAAGAGCCGCCAACTCCACTGCAAACAGCGTAGCGAGGATGCACAAGCCGACCTGCAACAGAAGCACGGATGCGAACTTATTGGTTTCAGCCCGGTCGGCAGTCCAGATAGCGATTGAGTTGACTGATAGGCGGAACGCAATAGGTAAAATGTTTCCGCTCAAAGCTTGTTGTCAAGGCGCATTCTTGGATTGCCCATCCGTGCTTCACCCGGAGACACCTGCGCAACAGCGTGCAGTGGCGATGCGGGTCCACAATCGCCTCAGACATTCCTTTTCATCACCGCGTTTATGCGAGCGAACATGGACAGCGCGGTGAACCGTCAGTCGCACACGGCGACAAATCAGCAAACGCACAATCCAAGGAAGCCGCTGAGGGCGGGGCGTCGCTAACCATCGATGGAAACACCAAGATGAGCCCTGAACCATCCTTACCAACCACCCCAGCATCGTCTGAGGCTTCAGCGCCAGGGCATGCTTCTGTAAGAACGCCAAGTCCTTGGGAACGTCGCTTCGGGCCTCCCGCCACAACGCCTCGAGCCCGTCTCTGGTGCGCTCTGGGAGCAGCATCTGGTACGTGGGGCGCAATATGGCGCCCATCTCCATCGCGGTAGTCTTCAGGAACTTGCCCATCCTCGCTTGTGGGACGTCCGCCAACGACCTCGGCCTCCTCTCGCACCCCTGGGTTGGCTGTTGGTGCAGTGGGCCCTGCCGGGTTGTTTGGGGCTTCCATGCTTTGTACATTGCATACTACAGTACTCAGCCTAAATAGGGGCGTTGGTTAGATAGGTCTGCTTTTTCGCAGATTTCAAGGGGCGACGCAGTATCTATTACATTAAGGAAATGATCGCCAGTGAGTTGTGTATTCTCACCCCGCCTTTAGAGACTGCGGTATCATATGGCACAGTGTCATCAGGGGTGTCCTTTGCCTGACATGCCTGTCACAACAACAGTATTCAATTCGAGGGAGCAACATATATGTTGAATTTCTCTCTTTTCAGCGGATCTGCAGACACACTAACCTTGCCAACATTTAATCAGGCCAAACTTCGAGGATTTGGCAACGGTGTAGACACATCAAGCCGTTACGAACGATTGTTGTCTTCACTACAAACAATGTCTTTTTGGACTTCCTCCTGAAACTTCAGAACGGATTTCGGTTTCTGTAGGTGGAGCAGCAGCGACACCAACCGCGTCAATGTGTTTCGGAATTGACAAAGCCGATGATGCACACACTATTAATCTTTTCCTGCAGTTGAGATACGATTTTTGCAACGGCCGTTCCTATGAGGGTATACGCCAAAGCCACTCGAATTTCCGGCGCCATACCAATGCCCACGTGTTTTCGTTTCTGTCGCTGTTTGACATCCTGACAAACTGCAAACACTGAAAGAAGCGCCTTCAATGTGCCTTCAGGCGCCTCTATCAATGTATTGTCATTGACAAATGTTCGGGTCGCCAATAAATGGGACCATTCTAACTTAATGATTGGCAGTCAAATTGTCTACGTACTGTCACTGAGCTGGCGCCCCATGAGGCCCAGGATGTGGTATAGAATCCAGCTGACAGACAATGGCAGACTGGGGTGCAACATTGAGGATAAGGTCATCAACAGCAAGGGACATTGAACATCATCAACGGCCATTTAAGCCATGGCCAGAGCCGCACAATGTACACGCAGCTGCGGGCATGCACTACGTCAGTGCACTGAGCTCAGACTTCGAGTGCGATTCAAGGATATGATGCGCATCAGCTGGGCATGCCCAGCTCGTCCATGAGAAAATGATCTAAGACGTCGGCATGCTGCATGTTTGGTTCCCCAGTAACAGCTGCGGGGAAGGCCGTCTGAATTGGCAGGGGTCTCAAAGTCAGATTAATGTGGAAACGGTCCGGGATGGGTTGCATAGATGTGTGATGTCGAGTCTTTTCTATTTTAACATTTGATGGTTTTCGTATTTTTTTCTAGTGGCACTTGACATCCAGAATGGCGATACGACCCGTTTGCTGAATGAACATCAGAGGTGTTATTTGTTTTGTCATGTGCTGACTTGGATAGAATGGGTATGGGTCCCTTGGTTGAGTGACATATGTCATTTCAATTGTCATTTTGGCTCCTGTATGCGAAGTGCGGCAGTTTTTTATCAGAATCTGATGACCGAAGGGCAGTGGGCTCACATGGCATTTTTTTTCTGTAGCATGGGCTGCGTGTTGCGTGGTGTTGATGCAATCCTTGCATGAGAATTAAGTGAGTGGCTGGTAAGAACTTACAAATATGGGACCTTTGTTCGGGGATACGACGGGCTGGGAGGAAATCGTATGTGAACTCCCAGAGTTGATGTGACTTTTAACGATCAAAATAGTTTTCATGCGCTGACATGTACGAGGTTTCGAGGGGCTATTTCGGGTGGCTGCCGCGACGTGTGCAGTGCCACAAGGTCACGCTGCCCGTTTTTAGAGGGTATGCAATGGAGCGAACAACAGTTTGTGATGTTGTTAGCGCCTTGCTGGTGTTCTCTGAGTATGTGGCCTTTGCACACAGGTCGTTGCATGTAGCCCGACCAGTTTGGGATCAAAGCCAGCGGTTTTCGGACCCAAACGTTCCGATTTCGGCGCGATGCACCCACGGCATGCTCGCCGCTCGGGCTGGTTGGATTTCTGGGTGAATCTGTGAGAATCGCTGCAGTTTCTGTCAGCGTTTCTGTCCATGTCCTTTTGGATTGCGTGCGCCTGGACATGCATGGCCAGTGGGAAGGTTCCCCTGTGTTTCTGTGGCTGAAGTGCCAGCAACACGCATGCAAAGTGACCCAATCTCACCGCCTTTCGTCGCTGTCTTCAACCGCTCTGGGGTAACGGACGGGCGAATCTTTTGCAGACTTTCACTGTGCTACCCGGAGGGTCTGGCCACGTTTCGGCCACGATCTTTACACAAAAAAACTTCCTGGAAGCTGGAAACCGGTGGATTGTGGGTTCTATTGGAGTAACACCTTGAATCCCCAATGAGCAAACCATGGATACTGCTTTTGGGGGGCAATAGGGAGCTGGGGGCTAACTCCTTGCCTTGAGATGTACTGTTGCTTGGATGAATGCATGAATGAATGAACCGGTCATTACAGCGCCCGAACAGGCCAAGTGTTGTTCAGCGTCATCGCGGAAACCGTTGTAGTTCTGTTGCCTCCAGTCGCCGGCACCAGGACGCCCGCCGTCGCGCTCTGTGCCTCCCCTGGATTCTCCGGCCTCCGGGCTTTGCGTCAGATCGATGAAGGGGTTTGCTGACTTTGGGAAGTCCGCCAAAGGTGACCCGAACGAGAGTGTATGGCGCGAGTGGCCTGCCCTTCCGAAGATCGGCCCCTGCATGGCCGACTATCCTCCGTGAAATGGGCCAAGGCGCAAACAAGGTTGCCAACGTAGCGTGCGCTTTCTTGTGTTGTCAGATGTGCTGTACGGTGGTAGCAAGGGCGGCACGTATCAATACGATGGGAAGCTGAAGCTGTCCACCAAGGCTTCCGATGGCATGGTGGGTGCCGCCATTGGCCGGCCGCCGCGAGTTGGAAGTTTGCCGATTTTCACAGCTTTCTGGCTGGGCTACCAAGCGGTATGCCGAGGGAGCTGCTGATCACGTGGGCTTCCGGGCCTGCGCTTGGTTCTGCAGGCGTTTACTCTGAGTTCGACACTCAAGGGTGACAAGCTGTCGGGCGAATTCAAGTCGTCGTATGGTTACAACCGTTACAGTGTCGACATGACAGTGACCGGCGCTAGCAAGGTGGGTAACGGGGTTTGTGGCGACTGGCGCAGGATATGATGGGATAGTAGGGACGGCAGGTCACGTGTCCTTGTGTTAATGCCTGCTGCCATGTGAAGTGCAGGTCACAGTGAAAGGCAACATTGCCGACTTCCTGACGCCTGGCCTCAAGTGCACTGGCAGCTTTGCACTGCCAGCAACCTCACCTTCAAAGGTGGGTACGGCTTCCGTTGAGGGGACTCTGCACCAAGCTTTCCCAATTGTACGCTGAGGAAGGACAGTCCAAAATCGGCTCACACATCCCTGGTTGCAGTAAGAACACCAAATGCCGATCAGTGTGGATGCTTGTTGCAGATGCTTTTGGCTATCATTCCGAATGCAGCCCTTTATTATGCTCATCGACATCCACACAACCCTCATGTCAGTGTGTGTGCTGAGCATAATTCTCAGAATCTTTCAGTAGCCATTGTGCTCAGCGATCGCCATATTTGGAGCAAGGCCTTTTTTGGCTTTTTGTGACAAATGTGAACGAAAAAGTATTATTTTCAAGTGGTGCTGGGTGTGTGTGCGGACAGGTTGGACTTCAGTTCACCCAGCCCCTTGTGAGCGCCAAAGTCGATGTCGATGTTACAGCATCCCCCAAGGTCAGTGCATCGATGGCATCTGGATATCAAAAGCTCTTGTGCGGTGCAGAATGTGCATACGATTCTGCCAAGGGAGCATTTTCTTCATGGAGCATTGGCACCACTTACGCTGGAGCAGGGTATGAGGCAGCCATGCTGTACAATGACAAGGGAGTCCTGAAGTTGCTGCATGCTCAGAACCTGGACGACAAGTCTGTTGTTGGGGTTGAGATCGTTCGGCCACTCAAAGATGATGCTCCCCAGTCCTTTGCATTTGGCCTCACAAGGCTCTTGAGCAACGGTGCACTTGTCAAAGCAAAGGCAGAGAGCTCTGGAGTAACATCTGTGTTGTGGGAGCACCAGATTGAAAAGGGATTTAAAGTGGCCCTCTCTGGGCAGTTCGATGCCAAGGATTTTGACAAGGGCGCAAGGGTTGGCACTGCAATCGAAATCAACTGAGCAAGACATCTGCACCATACATGAGATGGGTGTATCCATTCAGTGCCTGGGAGTGCAGGATGGTGGAATCGGAGGCTCGAAACGAAGGGCGCAGCCATCTTGATGCACTGCAATGGTCTGCTGAGTCAAATGTGTTGTGGGTCGAGGCAGTGGATAGAATGTTTCGAGTCTCTAGCAGCCGTTTATCCTCTGTAAGTATTTTGACACTCATGGGTTCTTGGCACAATCAGTTGTTGGGACCTATCAGTTCCAGTTCTTATTTCCATTCTCCAATCCAGAACTTGGGAATTGACAGGCATTGGTTGACAGGGCATCATCTGCTGACGCCGCCAGGATAATCAGTCAGTATGGTGTTATGCTATGTGTGGTGCACTCGCCCTGAAGAGGGAAAGCATTCACAGTCAGTCAGTTGCAAGGCGCTTTGGGGCAGAGCTGTTGGGCATGTCATCGTTCTCGACCAGCAGGCTGGGAGATGTGCTGGAACCTGTTGTACCACACAACAATTGAAAACCATTGTAGGTATTCCGTTTGTTGTCAAAATTTATTCTACTCCTCTTGCACTGCAAACTCTCAGTGTGTGAGTACCTGTGTGTACGTTTGTGTTAGCGATGGGGTTGTTTTCCTTTGTTCCAAAACAGTGTGTCAACAATGCAACTGTCATGCCACTGGCCCATGTGGATGCAGCCCAATGATCCCACTGGGCAAACATCGCCCTTGAGCGAGGGTGCGTGGATTTGTGAAGCTGATGTGGGTGCAGGCTCATGTGTGTGCGCAAGCAATGGCAGAGTATCATGAAGCCCATCTGGTGTCACTGTCCAATAGCATATGGCATATGCAGAGGACACAGGTCCTAACACCCTATGTATCAACGACCCTTGTTCGCTGACCCCTGTTTTGGCCTTTTTCCATAGAACAGAAGATTTGACTGCAGCTGCATCTGTGGATGTCAGCTGCTGCTGGTGCAACTATCATAATTGTCAGGACGACTTTGGTGAATAGGATGAAAACGGTGCATATGGTGAACATGGTGACAATTATTAGCACGAAACGTGAATCCAGTGACTGCGAATGGCAGTGAACAGGGTTCAATACGATGTTGCACATTTAAACAGTGAAAATAGACATTAGGAGCTGTCCTGATTGGTGTCGCCCCAATCCCAAGGCAGCCTGTGGGAAAACAAGGCAAAAACAGATAACAGGCGTGGCAGATGAACAAGGTTCTTGCAGGACCGGCATGTCCTAAAACCCACATGCACTTCACACAGTCATTAGATCAAGCCAGCACAATGCGCCAAGCGAACAGCAGCATGGTGTTCGTTTTGTGTGCAATCGCTGGTGTTCCTTGGAGACCATTTCCTTGGGGCTGCTGTCCACAAGGGCGAAGGCCTCAGGGCCTGATACCTTGGGATTAGTGTTGCCGAAATCCGGTTGCTTGGCGCTCACAGTGTGGGCCCAGGTTCGATAGGGCCCAGAACATATGGACCTGCCCATGCACACAAGCACTCCAGTTCTTTGGTTTATCGTGCCTCGCCACCCAGTGGCATCGAACCGGTACCTGAGCACAAAACCGGTTGTTAAAACTGCCATTGGTCATGAGCACCAGTACATCAAAGGCGGGCTCATGACCGACATAGGGCAGCTGACTGGGCCACTATTAAACAACCAGTCAGAGTGAAAGTGAAAAGAGGAGAGAAGAGAGCGAGGAAAAGAACAGATACACGTTGCATAAAAAGAGCAAGGGAGAACTGTTAATATGATGTAAACGGCATATTAAAAAAAACATAAGATGGTCGCTGTGTCTTTACGGTTTATGGTGCCTAACATGCTGCCTGGGCGATGGTTGTAGGATAAAGACCGAGGAAACAATGAGGCAATCCACCACCCTTCAGTGACTGCCCATTTCTGGACATGCTAAAGAGCATTGATAATATCTAACTGGAGCTCAACTGCTCATAATCATGACCGCTCAAATCTTTCAAGAGGACGACGTGCTTTGTTTCATGAAAGGGTAGCATGGGAAATATGGACTTGATGGACACGAGTGTTTCGATTTAAAAGCAGTTCTGAGGGTTTCATTTGACGGCTGTTTGGATGTTGGACCTTGTAAATGTAATGTACATAAGAATCTGACCAAGAAAGGACAATCAGCTGTGAGCGTAAATAGACCACCTTGAAACATTCAGCCCACGGATGTGGACGGGACACATGGGCAAGAGCTGGATGAGCAGAGCATGCAGAAAAAGGCCTGCCGTAAATTGCAAGAATCTACATGACCAGAAATCCAGTTCACTAAAATGCGAGGTGAACAAAATGGCTGAAGAAATAGCAATTGATGTGCGGACAATGTCCAAAGATGAAAAGGAAAGAAACATAAGACAGCGCTACTGGAGTTTAGGCTCAGTTCAGTTTGAAGGTCTGCAGCTTGACACGATCGAAAGTGGATTTACATGATGAAAACATAGGTCCTGGTGTAAGCTGTTGGGGACATTAGCCTCAATATGAGCCTGATGTGACTGCTGAACATGAAGTCATATGTCATTTGCTGGTATAATATTCGGTGATAAGAAGAAAGAGAAGAAGGGTATACTCGAAGGAAACGTTGAACAGTTCATGGCTGGGACTAAGGACTAAGGAAAACAGCTGGGAACATTGTGGCAATGAACAAAAGATGTAGGAGAACAAGGCTGTATGGTAAAGAAAATGGTTGAACATTGAAGTTTTGTCAACAAGCTTAACAGTCGTGAAGGTCACTCCGGGTAATGAGCCAGGAGTGTTGAAAGAATGGGCCAAGTTGCCTTGACAATTATCCACAAGCCAGAGCATTAAGCCGAGCTGTAATTACGATTGAGATAGCGCGCGGCGCCAGGAATTGTGCGTGGGGAGCGCTGCTGCCATCTAAAGCTCATTCTGATGATGACGCATGACCCACAGAGCAGTACGGATGCTTCCCAGCGGACGGGCTGGCTTGCAGCCTTGAGACACCTAAAAGGAGCCTCCTGAATACAACTGAAACCCAATGCCAGTCTTTCATAGCCCTCCCCTAGCTTGACGGGGCAAGGGTAAACGTTATGCATTAGCTTTTACTTGCATATTAGTGATGCAATTTGACTGACATCTATATTTGAATGTCGCACCATGATGAAACAAGACTGCCCTGTGTCGCTTTGACTCTCCTTGCGCCCGAAAACATATTGTCATGAGTATGGAGGTAGCCCTATATGTGGCCTAGTAGGACTGGGCCTCTTTTGATGTGTCACATGCACAGACAGCCGAGTCCACTGTATAGAGCTGCGGGAAGTGGGCCCCTTGCGCCTGAACGACCTTGCTTAAGACCCCCACGGTTCAAAAGGCTTACGCGCAGTGCACACGGAACATCCAAACCCCATCAATAGTGCGGACCTATTCAAAGCACCATGGTGAATATGTTGGACGTCGCAGTTCAAGATGGGATGCTCGGGGGAGCTAGAGAGGATGGCCCAATCTAGGCCCCGTAAGCCAATGGCCCCTCTGCCAATGGCCAAAGGGAGGTTTGAAGTGTTGTAGAGGGCCTGCTGGGTATTCCGCTTGATTGTTTGGCCGCCCAAGCTTCTGGCTTGCTGGAGTTCTAGAACTCCAGATCTGGTGGCAATCTGCTTGGGAGTGGACATGGCACTGGCGACTCTGCCAGATGATGCAACCAATGCGCCTCTGGTTGGAGGCTCGCGTCATGTACGTGGTGCTGACAAGGCGGTGGGCCTTTGGCCTCCACCAAATGGTACGTATGAGATACCAAACCTACCAGAGAGTGTGGTCCTCGACCATGTCGTTGGATTGCCGTGGAGTTTGACCGGCGTTATCGAAGGCTGAGGGCATTTGGTTGGCCTGGAGAAGGCACACCATTTGCACTAGTAGAGGGGAATAGTGGTGTGCCTTTGGTATAGATATTGCATTGTGAAATAATATGTCGTGCCCCCCCTCCCATGTGCTGCAGCCCCGTCGGCAGCCGCTGGTTTCCAGAGGCGTTGGGGTCGCCCTGCCCTGCAGCTCAGCTATTGGAGGTTAGCCGGCCCTCTCCACCTTGGATGGTGGGCGTATCCAGAGCAGTCGCTCCTTTGGCCGCGCATTGGGCCCAATGCTCAATGGGGATCAATCCCCGGGGCCTGCTGTCGGCGAGAGGTGGCGGTGCAGTGGTGAGGCGGTTCGCTGGCTCGCGGGAGGCCAGAGAGTGGGCCAGAACGGTTACACAAATTCACTGCATGCGCGTGCACATATCGCATGCGCGATGCCCGATCGTGGGTCCATCGCCATCACATCAAGACAAGTCAAGTGCACGTCCAGGCACATCGTCACCATCCACCGTTCACCTACGATCGACCCATTGTCCTCTAATTCCAAGCATCTAACCCTCGACCCCCTGGCCCGAAGTACTGCAACTTTAGAAGGCTATATCTTCGCCGTTTCTTAATGGATTTGGGCGTTTAAGGGCACGTTGGAATTAAAAAGCTTTAAATAACACCTATAAAAGGTCGATTTGGCCAATTACATAATTCTAACTCCAGAAAACGCCAATAACTGCCTAACCCCAAGCAGCCACGTCACACCATGGGAGGGCCACTTAGGGTGCCACTTTGTACAAGGTGGAAGGTCCTTTCTGTATTGTGGTTTCACTAGACGTGGCCGCCCAGCTTTTTTTCCGTTATTTTACTTCTGTAACTTTTTTGAACACAAACAATCCGTCCATCGATTTTCTGTCACTTTGCCGGGACCGGGTTTCCGTAGCCGTTCATGCCACATCAACTTTCAATTTTTTGGCTGTGGAGCTGTCCATCAAAGGGGTGTTTACAGCCACCGGTTTTTGTAAAAGTGCTTTTTTTCCCGCTGCCTTTCCTAACGTTCTGTTGCCATCCGTCAGGGACTTTGAGATTCCGATAATGCTCCGTTGGTCAGTGGCGGTTTCTGTTGGAGGCAATTTTTTCCAAGCGGATTTTTTCTCTGTGTCCAGCAACCTTTGCCTCCGTTCC